GGCGCCCGGTGCCAATGTGATTTTGTCCTCAAAAACACGGTTTACGGGAATAATGATCCTGCCCTGTAGAGTTAACCAAATTTTATAATTTTTTTTTTATTAATAAAGGAGAATATTCTACAGCCCGCATCGAGCTCCTTTTTTCGATATTTTTATCTCAAACTTAATTATAAGTCTTTAAAAAAAAGACAATTTTTAGCTTTTTTTATAAATTTTTTTATACTATTATTTAAAATAAAATACAAAATCCGAGTTCGATGTGGGCTGTAGAATATTGTTGCTCATCAATTAAAAAAAAATTACCTGAAAATATTCAGTTGTCATCGAGTTATCCATATTCCCGTCATTCGTAAGTCATTTTTGTCCGCTGAAACACCCGAAACGGACAACTAAATATTTCGTTATTTGTTCGTTAATGACATGTACCTGCGAGTGCGTGCGCTCTACTCAGGACTCACCGCACACCAGAACATGTATACCGCGTATAAAAATAACTTACTACCTATCTATTATTATTTATTTCTACAGAATTGATTAAATATTATTGTTATTTGGTATTGTCAGCGCACAGGTCGGGCCTATTTGGATTAGTTTTCTGCCGTGACTACCAATTATTACAACTTGCATATTTTATTATTTAAAAAATGTGTATTGTTTGGGTATTATGTTTTACATATAGTTTAAAAAAAAAATGCATATAGGTACATAAAATGAATATAAGATATAATTTAATTATAATATTATATATTATATGTATTCATATAATTATTAAACTTAGTTCGATGGTACCTATACATATTATATAATTTATAAAATAAAAATATTACTCTAATAGCTAAAAAATAATAATAATAATTTATGGTAAGTACATAAATTGTTTTTAACGTAATATCTCAGGGTTCACTATTTCTTTCAACAAATGATTTTTATAAAAATCAACAAGTTGAGTTTCCATTTTATTTTTCCAAAACTCAGTATCGCGTTCTATTTTTTCAACAAAAATATCTGTAAAAAGAGTATTATATCGATTTATTATACAACAGTTATTAACGTTTTTTAATTATTTGTAAATATTGTAAATATTAAATACAAATTATAAAATTTTACCTTTCGGGGTCCATACTATAAAATAACACGAACTTTTAATGGCCACCCGAAGTTGACCCTGGACTTGATAGTAATAATATTATCATTTTTTTTCAATTGCATGTTTCCATCTTGATCATTTATGAGAAATTTTATTTTATTCGCTAATAATCCTTCTTGGGGGGTCATGTCTTTAATACTATGCGGACATTTAATTTCCACAATATCACTATCTCCCACTAATCCATCTGGAGAACCCGCCAAAAAATTGTACTCTGCATCTACAAATAGACCTGCTGGTAGAACTTTTAAATTATATTTTATTTCAAATTCCTCTTTTGCCATTGGTTCATATTGAATGCCATAACTAATAAAAAACAATTAGACATTTTAACAGTTAATTAATTTTATTTGAATATTAAATAGTCTTACGTCATTGCTGCTGTTTTTGGTGTAAATACTTCACTGTATAAAATATATTTAATTGTATTTATCCTTGGAGTATTGCTTCTTACTAGTTTACATACTCGACCGAAATTTGAAGCAGTGAGGCGGTGTTTTCGTTCTCTATGCCAATCATCGCTTTTAGCTTGATCTATTGTTTTTCTTTCTAATAAATTGATTTCCTGGACACTCAGCTTTAAGTTATTTAAAATAGTAATTTGTCTTTGTTCCAAATCTTCCTGTGAAATCGGCAGTTCACCGCAACCCAGCTCATTGCAAAGATCTCCGTAGTCTTTATCAGGTCCAGAAAATGGTTTCAATTTATTAGTTTGTGAACTAAAAAAATATTAGGTATCATAAATAAGGGAAATATTTTAAATGGGAAGAAAATAATTTTAAAGTATAATTACCCGGTAGATGGTCCGAAGATGAGCTTAGATTTTATACTGTTTTGCTGCCTGTTATATTTATCTTTTTGCAATTTTCATATATATAATTTTGTAAACTTTCCTGGACTTTCTTTAGTAGCAGTTTTATGAAGTTTACGTATGTAATCAGGACCAAAATTAAAAGACGACACCGCTGTCATACATCTTGTATTATAAGAACCTATACATTTGGTTTATAATATATCAAATACAGATTACCTAAACTATGTAAAGCATTTTATATAATTATTACCTCTCAAAGAATAGTTTATTCTTTCCCCCCCCCCACGAATTTTGCAACTACACTATTATACGATTCTACATAATTGTTGTTAACATCATAAATTAAACTATCTGCATGATAAAATACTAGATTTTTGGCTGCAATAATGTCTTGCCATAAGCCACATTCCACCATTTCCGGAACATGGTTTTGGACATTAGCTTCAGGTTTACAAAAATATCTGAAAACCATGTTTAAAATTTAAATAATTTAAATCTTAGGTATATATTTTTAACATATTTTTTACTGACGAGTCACACTTGTCATGACAACCAAATACATGATACGGTCCATTATCTATATCTCTTTTTAAAAATTTAGATTTTTGGTCAATAGTTAGGTTGTCAACTTTTTTCCAGTGCTCAATAGCTTTAGTAATTCCATACCTAAATAAAATTAATAAAATTAATTTAATAAATCTATTTTCAAGTATAAGTAAATAATTGTATATTGTAATGTATTATATAGTATAAATACCGTAGTCTAAGTTTATTGTGTTTTAATAACTGTCTCAGAGCTCCCGGTACAACTGTACCACTGGAGCATTCTTTTTTTCCTGCTATTTCAGTTACTCTATTCATGTAGTTCCTCAATATATGATTTTTACATTCAATTTTCTTTATTTTACAGTTTGGACCATAAGGATTTGCTATACTCAATTTTTTTGTAACGGAGCTATCACCGTCACCAATTAACTTGTGGTATATTATATTGTGCATAGCAATACTTTGTTTGAACCCTTCAAGAATTATATCAGACTCCATACCAGACCATACCAGTTGATGTACCATCCCAATTTTTATAGCACTGGTGACTTATAGTAGGTTCATTGAGGTCTTTTGGGGGTCTTATGCATATTGAACAATATTTGTTTCTAATGCCCAAAAAAAAGACTTTTTTAGTTTAGCACCAACAATACAGCCCTATATAAAAAAATTACATAAAAAATGAATTACTGGTGAATATCCAATTTTTAGTCACCTCATAAAAAATTAATGCAACTTTCCGGTAAACATTTTTAGATTCTGAGTGGAGCAACAATTTATGTTTTTTATTTGTGTCAGTTCAGATGATAATTAGTCGAAATACTACTTAGTTTACAAAAGCACCGGGAAAAACGAAAAAAAGATCAAGAAAAAACGGAGAACAGTTTTTTTTTATAAGCATTTAAAGTTCAAATCTTGACGAAATACGTAAAAATCACGAAAATGTGCAAATTATTAGTTTTAAAAAAATTTCTACAAGAAAATCAAATTACATTTTATGAGCGTTTAATTTTCATATTTTTACATTATTGTACAGTCAATACATTTATCGCTTTGCTTAGAATCTAATAAACTAACTATAAAATAATGAATAATAAAATCTAATATAGAAGTTTATGTATAATATAATATTTTGTACTTACAACACCAGATAATGCATTATAGTTTGTTCTATAACTTCTTTTGGACCAAGCACCATCAGCTATAACTGTGATCATAGGCACTCCATTTTCATTTACATCTCCATTATCTATAGCTAATTTAGCCTCCTCTTCGGCTGCAGAAGACATTGATTCCCAAGCAGTATTATGTGTAAATTGTTCAACTTTTTCATGTATTTTTTGGTACAATTTATTGCTCATACTTGGCATATTCAATAAAGCAGATAATATTTCTAATTGTACATAACCTTGTCCTGAATTTACTGATGCTGTAACAGCTGCTGTATTAACGTCCATGATTGACATAGGTACTGGGATCTTCAGATTCAATAATTTCTTGTTTCCGACACATAGCACAATTGAAGATATATTCACTATACAAACCATTTCTCTTCTCACCGACAAAAACCAAATTTTTAAAAGTACAGTCAAACGGTTGATGATTAATTTTTGATATTTTTTCAAAAAAATAGGCAATATTAATTATACGACGGCCATCTAAGATTGATCTAAATATAAAAATTACTAAAGTGATACAAGTATCAAGAAATGTAATTTTAAACGAAAAATAAATATTTACTTTTCTTCTTCAATGTTGGAGTTAGTTTCATATAATAATTGTCCTGTTACTTCTTGACTAGTTGAAGGTACACCATTATCAAATAATATATTTGATTTTGGAGTTTCTTGAACAGATGTGTCCTTATTTGAGGAACACGCTTCTTTAGATGAGCTAATTGTAGTCAATTTACTACAAAACAATATATAAAATATAAATATATTATATAAACTTTATTAAAAGTATTTACTAAAAAAACCTAAAAAAAATAAAATTTGGATTTGTCCGTAAGAACCTTAAAACGAATTACAATATTTTCAAAATTGTATGGTGTATAGAAATTGAGATTATAAACATTCAGTGAAATTTTCATGCATTTAAGGTTATTTGGTTTTTGAATTACAACAAAATAAGAAAATCGCTACATGAGAAATCGAGTGAATATCCGTGTTGTAATAATATGAACTTTAAACGCTCATAAAAATTTAATTTGACTTGCTTTTAGATATATTTTTTTTGATAAAAATAAACAAACTTATGATAAATCTTGTATTATGTCTTAAAATCTTAGATCTAAAAAGAAAATTTTTTATGAATTTCTAACTCAAAATGATTTGCAAATTTTCGTCATTTTTACGTAATTTGTCAAAATTTGAACTTTAAATATGTTGGGACCTGGTAAGCAAGTATAAACATTTGATTATAGTAAAGAATGCCGAATGGTATTTTATTTATTGTGGACTGTATAACTTTATTCAACACTGTCTAGCCTGAGCTAAGACGCGATGCGCACCAGTAGTGTGCTTTCCGTGGCATGGTTCGAAACTAGACTAGTCGATATATTGAAAGCGTATCGTTAACGATCGATCGCCGCGACATCTTATCGGTTCATACCGATACCAACACTATCGCACCTCGGAAACCGCACACTGACACGCAACATGCCGCCCGCCTTGAAACATTGATTTCAAATGATAGACAAAAATAATTAATAAATGTTACAATTACAAAAGAAAAAAAAAAAAATAAATAAATAAATAGATTGCGTAATAACCATTAATAATAATACAATTATATGCTGACTCTAACAAACAAAAAAAAATGAACTAAAGTAGACAAACAAATTTATACAATGATCTACTCAGTGCCGTTTTCTTTAAACGGCAATGGACACAATTGTCGAACTGCCCGTGTGAACTGTCCCGTCGTAGTTTGGACTTCAGCGACCCGCACCTCACCATCATCACCAGCAATAACCTTTGTAACTCGCGCTAAACGCCATCTTAATGGAGGGAGGTTATCTTCTCGCATTAATACTACGGTACCCACTTCCAGTTTAGGTCCCTTGGCACCAGCCCACCTCTTTCTCTCTTGTAGCTGATTCAAATACTCACGACTCCATTTCTGCCAGATAGTTCGTGAATATTGAGTCACGCGACGCCATCTCGACAAATGGCTTGTCGGTATATTTGACAAGTCGGGTTCCGGTATCGATAAAAGTGAGTCGCCTGTAAGGAAATGACCTGGGGTCAAAAATACTGAATTCTGACATTAGAATTTAGAACACTGAATATTGTGTTAAAAAAATAAATAAATTGTGTTTTTATTTGTGTTAAAAAAATTTCAATGTTTCACGTTTTTGTGAAATATTTCACAACTTAGTGAAATATTTCTCATACTTCAAACACTACTCCTATGTCATCCGACCCAAACGACACGTCCTTATGTACGCAGGATTAAGGTTTTAGAGTTCCAATCCCCTCATCGGCCTCATCCTTGAACTCTTCCTTCTACAAAAAAATAAAATATTTTTCACTGTGTAAGAAATACACAGACTAAAAAAATAATTGTAAATTATTTTTAATAGATATAAAATAAATTATAAAATAACATCGAGAATCAATGATTCTGTTTTTTTTGTTGCTGATTAAGAACATTGGTAAACGTCTACCATAATCGTAGGTATCATCGATTATTACCACGTTTATTAAGCCCTGAAGATGAGGCTCAATAGATGACCAAGTTAAATACTCAAAACGTAGACTAATTATTGAGAAACTCTATAATTTGTTTTATAATTTATATTATAAACTGTTTAGCCAACAATAATATTGTAATGAGGAAATATATAACCCCCCCCCCCCCCCCCCTCTCAACGGGTCTGTGATTGATCTTAGGTAAGACCTTAACCGAACTAAAATCCTGCGTAAGTTACTGTGGCCTCATCTTATATAATAACCGATTGTAAAATATTGAAGAAAGAAGATTTATATCGCAAACATTTTGTTATTTTGTTGTAATAATATAGGGGTGCGATATGCTTGCGAAATTGTACATATTCCATTGTACATGAAGTAGCAATGACAATGGGCATGCATATAGTAAAGCCTAAAGAATCGTGGGATTTGTGGTGGTGTAACAAACCCATGGCCTTTAAAGAAGCCATAACTTTAAAAAAATATCAAGTAAGCCATACTAAATACCAGCAGCTAATATTTGATATAATATTATCATAGACAAAACCTATCGATACATTCATGCAAATAAATATAATGTGGACCGAAAATTTTCTGACATAGAGGGCGGTAAAAAAGCCTTTACTGTCCAATAGGCGGAAAAGGGTCATTTTCCAACGCTTCAACCCGCATCGTAAATTAAACTTTAGGTGCAAGCGTGATAAAAAAAAGTATTGAAAAACTCTTGGCAATTATGGTTTCAGCTCTTGACGGTTTTCTGCCCATAATATGTATTTAAATGCTATGTGTTATCATTACTTTAAATTTTAAAATTTATATCACCCGGTCCAATGTGAGTAAAGCTAACTGAGTAGCTTTAGCACCATGTCTATATGTAGGTATTGAAAATATACACTCTTGAGACCAGTCTGTTTTTTATTTAAATTCTATTCAAAACATATAGCTGCTAGTTAGAAGGAATAACATTATGTAGAGTGTGTTCTTGCATATAATATAATTTATCGATGAAATCTATACAAATACCATGTCACCCGATATTAAAGTAATCTAGGCTGAGACTTTTTTATATGGACATATTATTTGTGTTTATAATATTATTTTAATTCTAAATTCTGATATAAAATATTATTTTTTTTTGTCATTATGAATTGCAGAAGAATATACATTTTTTTAAAGAATTTTATTTTCATTCTTAAAATAAACCATGTATTTAGTTTATTTTTACTGTCGATAATTTGAATTTATAAGGAGGCAGAGGCAAACGTATAACAATTCCTAATATACGTTTCTGTATGTCACATAAGGCATAACTAAAATTAAAACATTCTAAACTTCAACTCTTCAGTCTTCTCACCGATTAATAAGCATAATATCGAATCCTATAAAATATTGAAATGTATGGTAAGTAATAAATTGAACCGATTATGTAGTCTATAATTTTCAGAAGACGAATCATTTTTTGGGTATGTCAGAAATTTGTCGTAAGGATTCATTAGCTCGCAATCTCAACACAATGTCCAATAGTTTTCGAGACGATTATAACTTTTATCCTATGACGTGGAATTTACCATCAGAGTAAGATTTTTCTGATAAGTAATCGACATGCAATACATAGAATTTAATTAATTTTAGTTACATAAAATTTAAAACTTACATAAATCAACATAAAAGTGCAGCATATATTATAAAACCAGCAAAAGGAAGTCAAGGAACCGGAATATACATAACGAAATCTCCGAAAAATATTAATCGATATCCTGAAATGATTTGTCAGATTTATATTTCCAAAGTAAACAAAAACAATTATTGTAAAACTATAAATAATAAATTATATTATTACATATTATAACATAAAACTTTAATTATGTAATAATATTATTCTAGCCATTGTTGTTAGACGGCTATAAATTTGACATGCGTGTGTATACTTTAATAGCATCGTGTGATCCACTTAAGATATACGTTTACAATGATGGTCTTGTCAGGTAAAAATAATATCTTAATATTTATTTCATCTTACATTTTGTATGATAAATTATGACGTTCATGTATTCAACAATCAATCAAAAAATGATTTTTTACTGAATAAAATAATATGTTACTGGCGGATAGGCTATAGTGGCGTAGACATGATTTCTGAAAAGGGGGGGTCAAAAAAAAAGACATAGCTAAATGGGTGGGGAAAATTGGAAAATCCAGGTAATAAAAAGCCAATGGGAGGTGATCTAACCCCCACACCCCCTTGTCTACGCCACTGTCTATAGGAATATAGTTGAATAAGCGCAAAGTCTAAATACTGCATTACATTGCGTTCATCTCAATGGACAGCGCTGTTTAGTTTAAATTTAAAATTTTAAACCCACGAATAATCATCATTTTTCAAAATCAATTTTGACCTGATTAAATTTTAGGTTGAGTTGGAATTCAAGATTCAAAATGTTTGGTTAAACTGATGCTGATATACTATAATTATTTAAGACGATTGACTTTTTCCACAATTAATTATTGCAATATTTAAAGTTAATTTGGTATCTAACATACCTATTTTACAAATTTCATACCTAGCTGTTATTTTAAAACCTCGTTGCAAAATCATTTGGTGCATTCAGAATTTTCTTTTGTGGCCCATAAACGTGTAAAATGGCTAAACATTTATTTATTAGATATATACGCTGTACGGTACTGTGTAGGTAAATAATTTTATTTAGCCTACCTCACATTTCGTTTGCAATGCGATAATGCCATAATGGTTCAATGAACAATGCAATTCAATTTTCACCATTACCGTACATGATAATTTCACAGATTAGCAACGGAACTATATGCAACGCCTACGCACGATAATGTGAACGATCGGTTTATGCACCTAACCAATTACTCGGTAAACAAATGCAATATAATGTACAATGATGACGAACTTTGTGGAAGTAAACGGTAAGATTATAAAAATAAGCTAGAATTCGTTATTAATTTTAGAATAATACCTATGGCGTGTCGTTGAGTTTAGTCGAATTACCGCACTTGCTGATTGGCTCCTTTCTAAAGGCTACGACGTGAAAAAAATATGGAACGAAATTGATGACGTAATCATTAAAACCATGATCTTGGCCTATCCGTCTGTCAACCGCAGCTATCAGTCGTGTTTCTCTCGTCATAAATACACGCCGCCATGCTTCGAGATACTTGGATTTGATATACTTTTGGATAAAAATTGCAAACCGTATCTCTTGGAAGTCAGATATATATAATATTGGTACATAATTGATGTGTTTATTTACACCCGAACTTATATTGTGCTTAGGTTAATCGTTCACCAGATTTTCACACGGACACTTCGACTGACAAAATAGTGAAACGAGAACTATTGATGGATACGTTTAAGCTATTGCAGTTGAATAAGACTCTAAAAAAATTTGTTTCTGGGGAGGATAAATGGAAAATTCAACAAAAAACCATCAAAGCTGATAAAAACGTTTAGTATGTTTTATTACCAACATAGGTACGTCTCCTCAGCCCCCCACACCCCATATGGAATATTGAAAGTTTTTCAAACTTGTTACCTTTTATACAACATTTGAATGGATTTGCATGAAGATTTTCCACATTTATATGGTCATAATACCGAAGTTATAAATGAGCTAAAGAGGGTGGCCCCGTTGGACGTATCGCCGACCATCCCCAAACTAAATTTTAAATTTCTTACTTTTGTACACCATTTGCATGATTTTTTTTTCCTTTAATTTTTAAAAATATAATGGATAGGCTGGTGAGACGTCCCCGTTTACATTTATTTGTGATTATTTAATATGATGATCATATACAATAGTAAATACCACGATAGGAACTAATCTCAACGCGTTGGTAAATTATTGAACATGATATTATAAAACTATAGTAAAACCAGTAACCATTCAATATTCCTGTATAAAGAATTTTAAAATTTTGTACGTTAACTTAAATTGTAAAGGTTTGATATTCTAGTTTATTTTACAATACATAAACAAATTATTTTTTAAATTTTGTTCGTCAACTATTCTAACTATAATCTTAGCCCAATAGTTGGTTAATAATTTTGTATAATATTTCCCATTGTGACTACCGGTTTACTATTGTACCATTTGTACCTACCGGCTACCATGATTATTAAACTGAATATTTGTATGCAATATTAAAATGAGCTTCAAAGAAAATAAAGACAAAAATAATCATCTATATACCTTTAGGATACCTCATTATAATATTGTCAATTATGTGTTTGATTTTAAAGTAATGCAATACCTTAATATTTTACCTAATTCATTTACTAATAAAGTTATTTTGTTATAAAACTTTAAAAATGATTAAATATTATGTACTTTTAGGTAAAATAATTTATTAAGTATCATATAACAATCTCCAATATTACCAATAGTTTCTACATAAAATAATGTATTGTTATATTTCGTATTAATCTGTGTAAATCATTTTTAGCAAACAAAGAATGTTAAGGTGCAAAGAACATTTTGAACAACAAAATAATGTATGGCAAAGTGAGAATATGGGTAACTATAGATTAGTGTTCTCAGAGAAAAATGCGCATTTGTATGAACATTTTTATTACTGCAATGAAAGGCCAATTTGGCGACACACATGTCGTACACCATTAAATCCAAAATCTAAAAAATAATTACAGGGATTTTAAATAAATCATTAAAGTTTTTACTTATTTGTTGATATCTGTTGACACGTCTTGACAGTGGTTTTCAGTGTTATTCTTAAACGAGGTGACCAAAACTACTTTTTTAAACTTAATATTTACTAAATAGTAAATATAATATTAAAGTTCATAATATAGTCTTTTTCATATAGTCATTCTTTAACTGTGGCTTTTCTATGTATGAAATCAGTATACAATATAACATATGCTTAACCCTTAGAGATTATTATACATTCAAAAACATCTGAAAATCATTGAAATGCTAACTCTCTAAGTTGTAACGGGACAAAACGAGCACATTACGAAATAGCTCACGCTATCTAGTGGTGGCCTAATGCGTTTGTACGCAGGTCGTGATACATACCACGTATAAACTTTACATTGCTATAATATGATAAAAAACGAGATGACAATGTGTGTAAGTATAATGAAACATTAGTTAGACACATATAACATTGTTATATATACTATAAATGTAAATCCATTAGTTCATGTGCTAATAAAACATATTGACACTAATGATAAGAATTGAGTATAGAGTGCGTGGCAACAACTCAACTTTACGACCGTCAAGATTTTAGTTACTTTAAGTACAACTCACTGCGAACTTTGAACCTACAACATCCATAATCCACAGAATACAAACACACAACGTGAATTCATATAACAAAATCTACAAAATACAGTTCAAGACAGGAAAAATATCACTAAAACGTCGAACATGGTAACCACCATACTGCATGGTAGCAGTAGTGGGGAAACCACAGATATACCGGTTGAATTTCACCGTACAATCTGTTCAAAACATCGGAATTTGCACGATAACGGGTACGCCCACTATCGTTAAAAATTCGGTCCTTGAGTCCTTTTAAAATCAGCAAATTTCAAGTCAATCAAAAATTCTATTCAAAAAATTAAAATGAAACCTATCAGTTGATTTTTTAATCAAGGGTCCTCCAATAAGAGGATTCCATATTCGGCGAATTATGGTCATTTCTGGTCAATATTGGACATTTGCTTATTGTTCGATATTTATGAATATATTGTGAAAAACAGTAAAACTAATTTTCAAGGAATATAAATTTAAAGAATGTATTTTTGACAAAATTAAAAATTCGGAAACTCTTTTTTTTCTAATGTAGCAAGTCATCATTTTATTACAATATGTACAATACAAAGTTTACCATACGAAATATTACGTGGTATTTGCTTTTGTAGTTTTGTATATATAACTAGAAGATTTTTTTTTTAGACATTGTTTTATTGTTGAAACATTGCATCCGATGATGACTGCCAAACAACAACAAAAAAATTCATTCTTTTGGCAAATCGATTGTAGCTATCCCGGACGTTTGCTTCTAAAATACTAGAATCACCAACATGGTTTGAAATTTGTAAAATAGCAAATGATTTAATAAATACAACCGGTACTTATTTTTTCAAATATCTCCATGATATTTGTGTTGTTCAAGATTTAGGAAATATTATAATATGTTGTCTTAGCATGGGAGGTACAGATGCCGATCATAAGATGCTTAGAATATAATAATAATAATATAATTTAATTTTTTAATAGAATTGTTCTATTAAAAAATGTTCAATATTTAACGCGTGTCCCATTCGGACACGCGTTATTAAAATCCAAAAATCTTTGAAAACGATTTTACACTATGATACTATGAGGGGGTCTTATAAAGAATTAAAATCAAAAATGTTTAATGTAAAAATGAAGATTCTAACATAAATAGCAACGGAGTTATACTTAAATGAAAAATATGAAGCGGGGGGTAAACTTTTAATATGTAGTGTAGATAAGCATATAAAACATATCTGTGTTGTTCCGACTTGATAATATCAAATATTAAATGAAATATAGGACATATACGATCGCGTTATTTTTTAATATTTTTAATAGAAATATGGAAAAAAATGCAAAAAATCTACAAAATCATTCCCAGCTTTGCAGATACCCGTTAGGAAAAAAGGAGGCCGGAACTCTTTTACAGATATCTGCAAAGCTATCGTGGGAGGTGAAGTTACCCAAGCGCTTTATCCAGCAGGTCAACGACAGTTTTTCAGTAGATTGCATAGGTGTGTGCAGTGTGCACCCACCTATACAATCTACCGTAAACGTCTTCAAAGCCTGACGAAATTAGTAGGTGAATATGCAGCGCTACACATTCCCCCACTAGTTTCAATCCGACCAAGAACACATTTAAATCAAACGCGTTAACCACTGAGCTACAACACTTGGGAATGTATAATGATTATTTAAACACTATTTAAATAATTCGATAAAAAAAAAGGTGGGTAAGTGGATGTCGCTCTGCTGTACAGTAGGTTACAAGTGGGTCACTGTATAATGGATGCTTTTAAATTTGAATTCAATGATACAATATCATTGTATAAGAAAAACGATTCTGAGCGAAGACGGTATGTCAGTCTAGGTTTAAGACAAATTATATACATATCTATGGTATTAAAAAAAAAATTGACTTATAATAAATTCCAAATTAATCATATCACATTATCACAATATCCATTAGGTACTTATAACATGTTATACATCAACATCAATAACAAACCCTGATACTATCATAGATATATAATAGTACACTTTAGAAGTTTCAAGTAGGTACCCCGTACCCACGAATAATATTATATAATCACAACAAAATAACTAGGTTTTTTAATATGAAATTTCGTCCAAATTTGAACATAAAATGACTATAAAAATAAACTGTGATTGTATATTTTTTAGATTTTTCGGTAAGAGAATTAACTACTTACGTAGAATCTTGTTTTAAATTTTCAATCCTTAGCTATAAAAACTGAACATTTTATAATTTATTAATTACGATGATTAATAATTTTCGAGATTTTGAAAAATTCTGTCAAAATTCGATGTTAAAACGCTTATAAAAAAAAATTGTGCCTATGTATTTTTAATATTTTTCAACTGATATTGTAACAATATATCAGGAGCCTTGTATTACATTTTTACACTTTTTGGCCCAACAGATAAAACTTAATTGATATTTATAGAAAAAAAAAACTATAAAAAACTATATAAAAATATGAAATAAATATATGATCACTGATTAATATTAAGTAAATTATTTTTAATTAATTGTTGAATATTGTGTTAAAATAAAAATTTACAAAAATCCTTGACATTTTTTTTCCTTGTAATTTCCTTACATTAAGTCATTAAGAACACTATTTTATAAAATTTAAAAAAAGGCCTTTGGGGGGGATCAGTGGTGTATTGGAGGGTATACGCGGGTATACGTCGTATACCCGGATCCCTATTTTTGGATTTATGCGTATACCTTTAAGAAAATTAGTCTTTTATGGGTATACGCACGCTTCTAATTTATCAATAGTGCCCTAGTATGGTTATTCTAATAGTTAAAAATAGATCCGTAGTCAAAAAATCGTGTACGATTATTGATAATATAAAACAATAAACATACGTAATTTCAAACTAAATGATAATGACAAATTAGAATAATAATAAAATAATTATTGTTGATGTATTGTGTTATTACT